GAGCTTTAGGCGCAGAGGAACGGGCCGATAAACATTTCGTAAACACGCCGGCTCCACTTTGCGGGCTTGCCGCGCCCCCTACGCCCCTGCGGGACTACCCGACCCCACCCTCCTCCCACGCCCTTCTTCCCGCCGCCGCCTTCCTCTTTCTGGCCACGTGAAAGAGAGCCATGCTATCGCGGAGGAGAAGCCCACCCCTGCTTCTCCCGGACCTACGCACCCTTCAGCCCTCTTTCCGACACTTTTCAGTGAATAGTACGGAGGGAAAATAAAAACATGAACATTACGATGGGTCGCGATGAAAGGGCCAACGAACAAATGATGAAAGACAACTTGCAAGAAAATATTTAAATAAATAAACAGAAAGCACGCAAAATGCCATTTCTCTGGCAAGAGCTTTTACAGGAAAAAAAGGAAAGGAAAAACAACTTTTCTTTGAATCGCCCGGGAACGTTCGTAGGACCCAAAGGAAACTGTCGCGTAAGGTTCGAGAGAAAGTTTCAGACCACCTCCCCCACCCCCTCCGAGTGCAGCGAGGGAAGGCTGGCATACGGAAGCAGCAGCAGCGAGGCCGGTACAGCCGGACGTGCCACCGTATCATCTCGCTAACATCGAAAATAGATAATCAAGATGTGAACAATTAACAAAGCAAGAGCGCGAGGAGGTCACATGCACTGTGCAGGAAACTAAGAGAGCGCCCCAGTGCGAAATGGGAAATCGGAAAACGATAACGAAAATTCTAAAAACTCAACAGTGTACATTTGTTCGCTGAAATATCAGAAATCATGTATGATTGCTAATTTTCCAGCGTACAATGAACACTGATTGAGTTTTCAGAGAATAAGTCGGAGAAAAGAGCTCTTTACGTAGGCAGAGTCGTCGTCGTAACGTTATCGTTTTTCGGTTCGACAGCCATTTCTCAGTGGGGCAGGTGCAAGTCCATGCAGTACTTGGGCCGGGCGGGGCGGGCCGCGGCGGGCCGCGAGGTGCCTCCCCTTGCTACAACCCTCACGCGGCTCCGCTCCACGCCACGCCACGCCACGCCATGCCATATCCCACCTGCTTTGCTTCCCACGGGCGGCGGCCCTGGACAAGGAACAACAGTTTACTCAGCTATCCTCAATCATCGTCATCAACCAACATCCGATGGCGTAACAAAGTCCACCCCTCCCGCTCCCACCTCCCCTCCCAACCCCATCAACCCCATCCCACTCTCAGTTTGCCCCGCCGCACCCGGCCCCAACTGAATCCACTTACTGACGTCATCGTTCCACTATTAATAATACTGATTGTATACAGCCGCTCGCATTTATATATTGTTGGTTAGTGAGTAATGGGTCTACGATTGGCGAGCTTCACTAAAGGACAACAACAGACATCGACTGCAGCCGCAGCCCTCACCTGAGACGATCATGTCCCCCCGCTCCGTGGTCCAGTAGTTGATCGAGTGCGGGTAAGCCTCGGTGTGGCACGCCAGCTTCACGTCCTGCCCGACGTACGCGCCCTCCAGCTGGTTGGGGATGGACAGCATGGGTGGGACTGGCGAAGAGAGAAAAAATGCGTTCAGTTATTTCATATTCGCTGCAAATACACGCTGAGAGAAATTTCTTGAAATAGTTAGAGGAAATTTTTCTATGATGACGTTTGTTGTAACATGACAGTCTCAAATTTAAATTTTAAAAGCACTTTGTATAAAATTGGAATTAATTGAAAAGCAAAAATAGGCCACCGTAAATTAAATTTACAACATTTTCTGTAAATCGTAAATACAAAATATGTTGTAAATTTAGGAATGTTTCTTTCACAGCGGCAGACTCTTCTCGTTCGCTCTACTCACACTGCACCCTGAGGAACACGCGCTTGCTGATGGACGGAGGCACCGAATTGGACGCGATGCAGAGGTACGCCCCCATGTGTAGCCGGGACACCTTGGTGATATGCAGTGTCTCACCGTCAACCACCGTCACTGCGACAAAAGGTAAAACAAAGTCAGCATGGACGGATTTCGATTTGGGGCGCTCAAACAAATAGCCCATAGCCCACAAAGTAAAAAGAACGAAAAAAACAACCTATTATTATGGAATAATTTTTTCCCTTTTCTTGAAATCTTTGGATCAGTGTTGGTTTCGCGAACGTGGAACCATGGAGGCAGGGAGAAGGATGGGATGCGAGGACGGAAGGGAGGGATCCCCGTCCTATTATCAAACGATTTCTCGACAACATCAACAATCC